GAAAGGGAGCGAGGCGAGAACTATTTAAGAACATGTGGTCGTGTATGTTCATTGGAACCATGGGTGTGCAGCTATTACTGGGATCATTCAGGGCTTTGAAATAAATTACAGAATATGCACCGGCTGGGATACATTGAAAAAGTAGCCGTTGAAACTCGGCAGGTTCAGGCCGCCTTTCTGTCGAGCGCATTGTGTCACTGAAACCAGTCAGTTATGAGCTACGAGGCCAGGACATACTCAAGAGCAGAGACTACCGAATGGGTTGCGGTGAGGGAGCATGGAGGAGCGGGAAAGCAGATGGGTGAATATAAAAAAAACTGGCGTACTGCAGGGAAAGAAGCCGCGAATCTTGTTGAGCCTGCGGATATAGCAGAGTAAAGACATAGGAACAGTGCAGAATAATGGGAAATTCACAGAAAATGCACACTGCCAGAAAGAGAAGTGAGATAGATGGAGAGACGGTGGGGCAACGAGCCGAGCGGAGGAAAGGAGCCCAAGAAAAGTTAAAAAAGTTGATGCAGCTAGCCAGCGACAGTTTTTTTTGCGTTTGATCGGTGGCGGTCATGAATATTTTGCGGAAAATTCAGGAAGCGGAGAGGAACTGAAGATGTGGCATGTGTGAGCCGTGAAAAAATCGGTGGGATGCAGGGCTTTTATACGAGAGGCGATACAAATATACGTGGCCGCAGTAGTGTCTTCTCCTGCGGCGCCGTACGGCTCCGGAGCTTGCGAGGTACGCGTCATGTCGGCACAGTCAATACCTCACCTTTGGACTGCGGCACAGTTGAGCACATGAGGTCTTTTAATTTCCCTTCATCAACCGCCTGACTCGGAGAACAGCAGAATGGGGAAAGGCTGTATAAATGCTGCGAGATGGTGAGAGCTGAACTCAGGTTGCACAAAGAAATACTGGAGAGGAACCGCAATGGAGATATGACTAAAGGGGATGGGACCAAATATATGCAAACTGATTCGAGACATCTCGTTAAGAGAACGGATAATTTGACGCGAGCCCGCAAAGGATTAGGTGCCAGCCTGCATTACACGCTGATAATGAGTCTAAGAAAGATTTGTTGTCTAGCGCATTGTGAAGAGCAGATGGTGTGGAATATCGAATACCATTATGTTCAACTGGGCAGGGTGTGCGACAAACGCGCTGCTTTGATCCTAGTCTCGATTCCGACGACACGGTCGGTTATTTGCGGCTGTGGGTGCCGCCGCCGCCGCAATCAACACTGCCTCTTTCACTCCCACCACCACCGTCGACCTCGCGCTGCCCACCCATGTCTACCACATGCTGACATCTCCCTTTCGCTACTGTAGAACTTCGTCCTCGCGACCCTGGAATGTTTGCGCGTGCCAGTCCGATTAGGGTGATTTTGGTAGGTTTCCCTTGTCGTTTTATTTCTCTTCCATACGTGTTTATCCTTCCAACCGTCTTTCCTCGCTCTCAAATGCCTTTTTTTCCCGTTTCATGACGTCCTCGTTAGGTATCCTGACCGCGCGCGCACCCGTCCACATCTTACGCGTAGACAACCTCCAGCCACGCATACGACTGCCGTGCCCATTTTGCGTCTCTTCTCCGCCTCACGCCATGTGTCGCCATCGCTAGTGGTTCCCACTGCCCCCGCGTAATGCGTCGCGCGACTATTCACACCACGCCAGATGTACTGCGCGACTACGATGTCGCCCCTAACGCAGTATATCGTCCCCGCCCTTCTGTCACACTACACGCTCTCGGCGCACACCCTAGCCTATCTCATACTGTCAGCCGCGCAACGCAGCGCATGCAACGCTGGCGTTCCTCCCCGCAGGCGTCATTTCCTTCGCGTCATCGCGCCATCCGAATCCCACCTCGCGAGTCGAAGCCCACGCTCGCCACGGCGCCTACTTTCGCACTGCGAACTTCTTCCGCAGAATTCCGCCCTCGTCGCCTTGCTGCGTGCGCGACCCTCAGCCCCATAACTAGCACCTCCCGCCTGCGCAGCGACCGCGGTGGCCGTTCCCCATCCGCATACGGCTCGCCGGGAGCATGCATCTTCGGTGCGCCGCGCTTGGACGCATTCCCAAGACCACACACCGCACCACTAGCATGCCCGGAACCGGCGGCAGCCTTTCCCCATCCGCACACCGCGTTCATCGCCTCCGCGCTCACCACTTTCAATCATCTTCGCCCCTACCGCAGCCCCGCTCACCGCTCTCCCTCGCATACGCCGTATTCTTTACCTGCTCACCCACCGCGTAAACCCTCTGCCCGCCGCACCCTCGCTCGGCGACTACGACACCCGCTGGTACGATGCCTGCCGCCGCCGGCATGAACGCCCCGCTCACAAGACGGCGGGGACATACAGCCCGTGCGTGCACGGTTCTCCACTCGGTCATCGGGATCTGCGCGGACGATAACGGGCAGCAGATGCCGGTGCCCTGCGATTTAATCTCGTACTTCGGCCTATGAAAGCGTAATCCGGGCGCAAGGGGCAATTTCCGTCGGCTGGCCGCGAGAGGAGGTCTACTGCGTGCGCGGGCGTGTCGGGACGAGCGTTATTTACGCATACTGATTTAACCGAGTGTGTTTATTAGTTTCACATGGGGTAGGTATATATGTGCCTATAAAAGTATTGCACCCTTCCGTGCATAGAAATGGTCCAGGAAAAATACTTCGACTTTTACTCTCCTTGAGATCTTCATACCTTCTTCCGCGGAATCCCAGCATGCTGTCTTGATCTGCGGCGGGCCCGATTTCCATACGCCGACGCGGCATATAGTAGCGTGTTTCGAGCCTCGAGGTGGATGCGCTGGGCAATCAACCAAGTTTCAACGAACTTTGGGAATATATACCTACTACCGGCCTGCGACCTTGATATCCTCTCCGCCTTCTACATTCTCCTTTGCCTGCCACCGCGTATGATAGCTTTCCATAGACTTGCGATTACAGATACAGATCCTCTCGTTCTAGGACACAGAGCACTCCCGCAAAGCGCGCACGCTACTTGATCAGTTTCTCATACCCATAAACAACCCTCCCTCTTTTACGGCCATCTGGGCTTTGCGAGCACGTGTACGCATTTGGGCCTGGTTTAGAAGAAACGCATGCGGCTCAAATGTACAGGAATGCATATTTTCTCTGCTGCTCCAAGGCTCAGATCTACCGCTCGGTGGTGCTTGTACTTGCCGTAAGCCTCATTCCCCGGATGCCCATCCACCGCCGCTTTCATTCCGGCCCGTCGTCTGCGCCGCCTCGCACTCCAATTTAGCTGAAGTGCCCATCCATTGAAAGGTCCAGCGTTTACTGATCATTTGTTGTCCTACTCCCAGTTTGCAGCGTGCAAGCAAAAATAATGAATCTCTGCATACTGTGGATAGCCGGTACCAAACATGCGTCGCTGTACTGTCTATATTTGGAGTTCCCATTATCCAACGAAACGGGATGATACCTCTACATATGCTCCCCACCATGACGGCGCATGGTACCTCCATCCTTCTCGCTCACTGCAGGCACGCTTCATCTTGTGCATTGAGGTCAAGAATTTGCTCAACACAAACTCTCAGTACCCACCGACTTCCCTCGTTGGCTCTGTAGTATTTTGTGACACCTCGAACAATAGCAGACACTAGTTAATAGCAGCTCGCTGCACTGCACACCCGATTAATCATTTCCTCCCAGAGAAACAGCGGTGCAAGAATGTGCGCCGTCTCCCGAGAAGATTTTTTTTGAGAAGTTGAAGAACAAAAGAAAGCACAATCTCCTCCTGATTTTTCCCCCCGAGAATAACGGGCAATGTTTCCTTGGGGAACAGGCGCAGACCACTGTAAGAAGTTTTCGCAAATATTTTCACCCGAGAATCTGCTCAAAATCTGCTCATGGCCGGAAATAGACTGGATTATTTGAGGACTAGATTGAACCCAACGTGGAGACCGGACACATTTTGCCCCACATTTTTGTTCAAAGAAGATAACCGATTGATAATATTTTCCCGTTGTTTCGGAAGGAGTTGAAGAAGAAGAAAGAAGGGCGATGTCCTCCTGATTTTTTTCCCAAGAAAGAAGGGAAATATTTCCATAGGAAACAGACACAGAGAAAAAGAGAAAATTTGCCTCCTGTGAAAAGCTTTCGCAATATATTTTTATCGGAAAAAACTGCTCATTGCTCCAAGAGACGTGGGAGGCTGGGGCTGGTCATTGCTGATTGATCCTGTGTTTGTGTCCCAGTCATTCTGTTTAATTCAAAGTCTATCGCAGTCGAATTAGAACACCATGAAGACCCGTTGGCGAACTCGGCAGCGCACCCACACAGAACATCGAGGAAAATTTGTGTCATGTGGGAGGCCTCAGTTTGACTCTGGGATGGTTCATTCGCGGATCACCGTGCTTTTGTTTGAAGTCTTTCATTTTAAATTCAGACCCGTATATATTCTGCGTCAAACAATTGAGGGAAAGCCTGTTGGCGCACGCGGCAGCGCACCCACACACAACCACTGGCGGTACATATCCTCGACAGTTATGTGGGGGGGCCCAGTTCGACTCTGGGATGGATCATTCCTTTATGAACTGATCAGTTTTTCCCCAAGTCGTTTCATTTACTCACAAATTTATTATGGTTCGGTAGGATACCAGGAAGACCTGTTGGTAAACGCGGTAGCGTGTCCACAATTATTAGTCTATGGGGGCTACTGATATTCTCTGGGAGACCCCAGTTCGACTCTGGGACAGGTCATGTTTCCAACGTTGCCGAAGATTTTTGTTCCCCGTGGTATCATATTAAATTCAGAGCCATGCATTCGGGTTTAATTCACATGGCAGAAAGACTTATTGGCGCACTCACAATAACTTGAAGTCTTGGTTCGACGAATTATTTAGGAGGCCCCAGTTTGACTCTAGGACAGGCCATGGATCAGCGGCTTAATCATTTTGTTCCGGGATGTTTCATTTCATTTTTGTCAAGGTCGTCCACTACAAGGACAACTGCCGTATGTATTCAGGTTCAACTAAGATACGAGGAAGACCTGTTGGCGCACTCGGCAGCGCACCCACTATGACTGGACGTTTCCCTCACACTGTATAATGTGGGATGCCCAGTTCGACTCTAGGATGGGTCATTCTGCGCTGTCTGCACCGCCTCGTTCATTTGATTTTTCTCTGAGCCTCCCCCGCTGGCGCATATATTCTGGTTCAATTGATATGGCAGAAAGACCTGTTGGCGCACAAGGTAGTTTTGTAGCTAGTTAGACAGCTTTCTTGAATGCAAGACTCTTATTACGCAATCCAGCTCATAAGACTCTCTCCAAGAATTTTTAGTGTTTCACTTCTGACTCCTCGCTTCGTCGACAAGCTTCGGAATCTAGGTGATCTCACAGCAGCGCACCCACAATAACCTCTTTGACGTCTGCGAGGCTAATTATGTGGGAGGCCCCAGTTCGACTCTGGGATGGGTCATTATCATTCGCAGTTCGGGGGTGTTTTTGTTCTGGTACAATTTTTTTTTTTGATCTGTTCCGCGGGTGTTAAACACTCAAAGGAGTCAGGAAAGTGCGACAGGCGAAAAATGCATTTTTGCATTCAAAGAGTCGTTTTTCTTGGATGAATTCGTTTTTTTACAGTCACAGGTGTTCATGGCCTTTGGTGACCTTTGACCTTTTAAAAAAAGTGTTCAGTGCACTGGGGTCTGTGACCTGTGACTGAACAGTTGGTCGAAATACTACAGTAATCCAAGCAAATCTAAGGTGCTCCAGCCTCCTGGAACTTACTCTGTGAATGAGTCCAAAACCACATGAACATTCACTAATGAGCTCTGCTGTGCATTGTAACTTGACCAAAAGGCTAGTTATTCTTTCTACAACTTTGAAATATCACGGGGAAAGTATCCAGGTTTAAAACTAACTTCCCGCGTGGGACTAAGTATAAGGGAACCTCTGGCACCGGAACGCACAACATTGAGCTCGAGAGAGACGGGAAGATTTTAGATGTACTGGGTATCATATAGTCATGGGCTCGCTCAAAACGCCAGTGAGATGCTGGCAGCACCGATTGCCACGATAGTCCAGCTGAGCGCCCAAATGTCTGACCCAAAAAAGCTGGCTGTAGAAGCTGTGTTCGTGAGATTGTTGTCGGTTTGTGTGATGCTATATGAAAGGAAAGATTAAGTCAGTCCTCAGATGAACCCCGCCTACCGTTCAGGATCGACAAATGCGAGCCCACTTACACGAAATTCTGAACCTCCAGCATAAAGGGTGCTGACGAGGTGAGGTCGCGCCGCCTATCCGCCGAGCCAAAAAGGGCAATCCCCACAACATGGGGAATGGCCGGAGTGAGGTTCGTTCGAGACCAGCTGAACGTGCAATTCCCCGGTGTCATCCCGTCCGACTGAGACCCGTAGCCGTAGTCCGTAGAATCCCCGTCGACCGAAATAGTAAACTGTGCATTGTAAGACGCAATGCTCAAGTAAATGGAGGACCCTTTTCAAGTTGAATCCAGATAGGTGAACTCCTTGAATATATAGCGGGCGTACCAGTGAATCCGTAAAACATCGAGATGACCTGCGTTGAGTCCGTGCCATGACATGTCTTCGCCCGGGCCCCAGATGAGCACGAAGACGCCACGTTCGCCCAAGGGCCCGACCAATATTTTTGTCGGAGGTCACGTCGATCACGATATTTTGCGAGCCGGCGGGGGCACTTGGGATCACTGTGGGGCCAGTTCGACTGCTGGTGGTCGTGGGGGAACCGGATCCAATATTGCCTGTTCATCAAAGTCAGTGTCCTGCTGTAAAAGATGCACATGGTAGATATCTACCGGTCGAAGGGGTTGGTATGCTCGTAACGGTAGGTGTCAGTTCATGAGTTGTCGTGGTCGTTGGCTGGTGCTTTCTTGTAGGGTTGAGGGTCGGCGGATTGCCTGAGTCGTGGCTCCGACATTTACCGACATTGTTCGAATCACGGACTATACAAGGAAAAACCTAAGTTGAGGTTAATTGGTTGAGAAATGACCGCACCGCAGATATCTCCCGGTACTGCAGGACACAGGCTTTTTCAGTCCAAAATAAATGCACGAAAATATGTGAACATACGACAGCAAAAATTCTCGTCGGCGCAGGGAATCCATCCAGGTGTAAGACAACTATTTGAGTTGCCGGTACAGACTTTTCCGTTGGGACAGCATCCTTCCGCCTTGCAGTAATAGCTGTTTCACTTTGAACAGGCGCCACTACTGCATGGACGAGGCGCAACATACCCCACAGGACAGCACCCTCCTCCATCTGAAGGTCACTTTGGAGAAAGAGGAACAGATAGGGGAGTGTATCAGCAAACCTGTACAGCAAATTTCCTTTCCGCGTTCGCAGCAAGAATTATTTTCGCATCCATTTTCCGAATTTTTGCAGCAGACTATATTAAGTTTCGTCTGTACGCGCCGCGTGGCAATTGAGAGTCACGCACAAGTACTGTAACAATATTCTCCTGCGTCGCAGCCTATGAGGTGTGACAAGAGATCAGCCCATCAAGACACAGATCCAATCCAGACGTACAGACGCCCGAGTTGCAGCATTGACCGCCAGTCGGGCAGCAGCCACTGAGATCGGGGCATACACTGTATCCCGATACTGTAGAAGTCTGGCGGGAGACAAGAAGTCCGCTGATGACCCTGCGGCGTTGAGCGTTCGCGGTTTGTTTCTGGCTAAACCTCGCCGGCGTGAACGGCGTGAGCTTTGGGTCCGAGGGTCCAAGCATGTAATTTTCTGGAACGCTGCCTCGGACGACACTGAGCCCGAGGATCGCGATTGAAACGACTGGAAAGAGTGAGAGGATCGGATTGAAATGGGATTGTTGGCTGTCCAGCATTCACACTACTTGAATGGCTGTTGCCTTGGGCGGCTTGGCGATCACCTGATTGAAATCTGTAGAAGGATTCTTACCACGTACCTTTGAACTGAGGAGAGAATTAGTCTCCAATCGACGATTATCATCCAACGTCAGAACTGAATTCAGCGGAACTTGTCAGGACAAGTGACTGTTGTACAACTTCTTTTGTGGTGATAACGTCGACCTGAATTGAGTTCGGGTGTAAGCCGACCGTCGGTTGGATTGTCATTGCAGCAATAGAATGAAAGTCACCCGAACTAACAGCGTTAAGTCTGGATAAATAAGAGATCGCAAGGAGATCAGTACTGAGGTCGGCTTGAATGATCTATGAGGGTTAACATGCAACTCGAGTTGACCGTCAATCTCTGTGCGAGTTTTCAGTGTATTTATGAACTCTGCTTGAGGTACCGTACCGTGGTGGCGATGGCGACAATCGACAACAGTCTTCTCCCGCCTCGCAACTGCCCATCGGAGTCTTGGCGCAGATTCGGGAGGTGCCGAAAATGCGCCCCACGTGGTCAATGTGTGCACAAGTGCCGCATTTTGCCGCATTTTGCCGCAATGTGCGGCACTTGCGGATGTGCCGCGCTTTCTGTGCGCGTACAGCGCTTGTGGTGTGCCGTGGCGCCACATCTGGACAATCCCGCTGGTGGATGGTGTTAAGTTCAACTGCAAATCGAGATATATTTATTAGTTTGCCGCCCCGTTTCTCGGGTCAAAACGGATGGACATAGCCACTGTGGACGTAGCCAGGGATTAGACTCGTAACCAGTGTGTAACCGATATCCAAAAAATGTGGCGAGCACTTTTGGCGGTTACAGACTGGTACAACTCGGGAAATCGAATTGGGCTGTCTGCGGAGTTTGAACTTTTGGCAGGTGCCGCGATCGGCCGATAAGCGAACCATCAAAACCAATCAATTCTGCCTCAAACTTGATAGCCTTTTCGAGAGCATTTGGGAATTGAGAGAACCGGCGTGATCGAAGCACGGCGACGATCGGGCGTGCACGGCGGCAACGGCGGCATCAAAGTGATGGCGAGCGGAGTGTGAATTAAGCAGTGCCACCATCAAAATGCCAATCCACGCAGTATCCAAAACATTGTATAATGCACGCACATTCACGGAGGAAATTATCCCCAAGTCAGTGGATTAAATGGCTGGGCTGCTGGCATATAATCAGAATTTATTTTCAGGAAAAGGGATGCCGGGGGGGTGCGCTTGATCGACCCGGCAGCAGCCGGCGATCAAGCCCCTATGTATGTGCTGTCTTATCCTCATAGAACAGCGGTTCTATGCTCACTGTTAGAAAAAAAAAGTAGGCGTCATTATCAACATAAGTTGGCTGAGGAAGAAAGAGGGAGAGATTATGGCCTCGGAGGCAAGGGCGGGATGGTTAGTACTGTCAGCCGCCGATCACTAATTCAACCTCCGATATGTGCCGTGATCTTACCGCCGTGCGCTGTTGCCGGCTCTCCCAATTCCCAAACTTTCACGCCTTTTCGGCTCTTCCACCTGCAATACAAAAAAATCTAAGGAAGCAAATGTGTTAATTTCTAGCATAGGAAGGTTCTTGATAATTTGAATTTGACAAGAGGTCAAAGTGCAAGAGAGAATAAGGGCCTCAGCAAAATTTTAAACTCCGATGACAGCCCAATTCGATTTCCCGAGTTGTCCCAGTCTCTAACCGCCAAAAGTGCTTGCGGCATTTTTTGGATATCGGTTACAGACTGGTAACGAGTCTAGCCAGAGATATAGCCACCGTTTTGACCTTCTAAACCGTGTGGCAAACTAGTAGGCGTTCAGGGTTAGAGTTCAAGTTGGCAGATTGGCAATCATCGCGATTAGACGTGGGGTTCAAGGAAGAAACCGCGAATGTGTAAGTGAGAGACTCGCAGCTTACACCTCGTCGCACTTAGCTCTAGAGGTACAGCCCTGTGGCGTATCTGCCCAACGTAGGGTGTGTGAATTTTACAGGGTGCACTGGGGCTTCAATATATTTATCAGCTTCCTGCTTTGAGGACGGCGCTCGCACTGCCATGCGGCGCGGAGTGCCTCTAGGAACTCTAAGCAGACTTTGGATGTGAACAATTTCCAGAGAATTTAGAACGAAGGCAGAAATCGGCCGGCAGCGGTGCGCCTTGCGGATCAAATTCATGTCAGTTAGCAGTGATCCGTACTCCGACTCTTCTGCGTCCTTCCACTGTACTTATGCTCCTGACACCGTTACATCTGCTATTCCGCC